CCCCCGACCTGGAGCTACTACAATAGGTGGGGAGGGGTCTTACAACCTGTCAGTGCGGTTAGGTCGTTCTTGTTAGAGCCATTAAAGCCTTTGTCAGACACAAGAGGAAACATCGCACACACTCATGAAAGGATTCTGAGTTTTTTCTTCAGAGAAAATGCAGACAAATTGCTTTGATGAAGTAATTTGTATTCAAGCACAATGGAGTGGAGTGGACGTAAACATGTGCAGAGAAAATGGACTGGTCTTTGGATAATTAAATATAAATTAACAAAATAACAACGATTATTCATTTAAATCCCAACAAGGTTTTTATGCATTAATGTATTTTTTTTAATTATTATCATTTCTTTATAATTCCTTTGAAAGACCAGGAGTAGGATGTTGATCAGTACTGGCTTGGGACTATGGTAATGAGATATTAAGGGGGCGTGGCTTCCACTCCTAGAGCTTACATGAACCGGAGCAGAAAAGAAGTGTGGAAAAATCCAAAACACTAATGAAACTTTTAATTTTAAATCTTTTTCAAGACAGTAAAATGATAAAAACCAATTCGTACTTTGAGTCTGAAGTATCACTACCTCTGTGATACATGCCGTTGCTGCAAGAAAATTGACACCTTTTTGTTGCCAACCCACTATTGAAAGCATGTGCGTAACTTTTTATATTAAACCCATGCAATACACTATTTTAGTTCCTCGTGTTATTAAACATAATAATGTGATAAATCGCAGAAAACCATGTGATTAATTATGAAAAATCTTTACTCAGCATTAAAAAAAAACCCATTTGCATGAACTGTTCAATTGTATGCGTTAAATCAGACGTTTGTACTCACCGGTGAAGTCTTCCAAGCACTCGCAGGTGTAGCCTCCTTCTCGACTGCGACACTTGCCGTTGTTCTTGCACGGGCCGGAGTAGCACAGGTCGATCTCCGTCTCGCAGTAGTCCCCGGTGAAGCCGACCGGACAGCGGCAGCGCAGCCCGTTGATGGGGTGGATGGGTCGGAACAGAACCGTGTCGGAGGAGATGAAGGGAGGGGAACTGTCGAACTTCAGCACCGACACACACTTCATGTAGTTCTCACAGGGCTCCCGCAGGCAGATGTTGTCGTCAAACGGCAAAACCTGGAACGCAGATTTAGGTTTAGGAACTGAGGACCAGAAGAACAAAAATATCATTAAATCCAGTAACATTTTTGCTGAGATTTAAAAAGACAAACCTCCTGAGAGGATATGAGTCTGAGTAAAGTCCTGTTGAGGTAGATCTGCTCCTGCAGCTCTTCCGGAGGAAAGGAGGTCCCTTTCCCC